ATTTTAGCCTTACCACACCAATTAGGTGGGTACTATTCCTGGATGGAGGCATTTGAGGCACACAGAGAGGGTAAGCACATGACCCCTGGTCACACAGCTAGTAAGGAGCAGAATTAGGACTGGACCCTGGACAGTCTGAGGCTCAAGCCCTTGCTGTTAATCGTACTACCACATGCTTCCACACTACATCCTGTTGAACTTGTCTTCACTTCGACACAGAAAACAGAGGAAGAATAGTAACAGAGGTAGCAACCTAGTAATAGCCTAGTAACAGAGATAAGAATATCGGGAATACAAGAAAACCCTTATTAATCCGTATTAATGTAGGTTTGTGGGCAAAAGATTAATGTGAGAACAGGGCAAAAAGGAGAACCCAGTCTATTTTAGAAAAACATATGTAAAAGAGAATAATCTACCATCATCAAGACATGAGTGCAGCCCTTTTGGTGATAGGCACTGAGGATCCAGTGAGATCCCTCCCCTCGAGAGGCACCCAACACAGGGGGAGAGAAACCTCTGCAATGACCCCCAACTGGAGGGAACCAGGGTGGCCATCCAGGGGAGCAGGGACAGGCAGATCACCAAGCGTTACGATATTTGGGGAGACTTCACAGAGGAGACCCTCTTTCATGTAACTTTAAAGCACAGAGTTTTAAAAAGATAAAACTCAGAAAGGTCAAGGGCAAGGGCAGATAGACACAGAAAGGGTCTTTCTCAGGGAAGAAGCGTCCCCATGTGTTGAGAAGCAGGGGTCATGGGGCAGGGGCAGAGGGAAGCAGCAGGAAGTGACAAGGACCAGATGGNGCTTCCCAAGCGGCGCACTGTAGCAGTGCACCACCGGGCCGGCCCCCATAAATTGTGATTTCTGATACACTTTTCCCCTTTCAAGAGCACTCCTGGAATGTCTAAGCAAGGAAGAGAGCGTCCAGTGACAGATTCTGCCACCAACAGGCTTAACCCAAATATGGGAGAATTCACAGGTGAAAGCTTCCAGAGAAGTGTGCTCACCTGTCCCCAAAAAGCTTCAAGGCCATCAGGGAGAATATCAGCACACTGAACATAAACAAGAGGAAGACGTACAGGATATCGGGCAGAGTCTTCCGGATGCTTCGGAAAGCCCTTCGGATCTATGAAGACAAAATTTAATTCCACTTACAAGAATCAGCTAATTCTCTGCAAAAACCAAATCCAAACCATCATGTATCCTAAATCGTATCCTCACCTGACGACTTTCTGGGAAGTTAATTAGGAAGACTGGCCTTAAGGCCCTTGACCATCTCACGCTGTGGATGCTAACAGCTTCCAGGGACCCATAGATAATCAGATCGATCAAGGTCAGCTGTGAGAGACACAGGAGCGGGACATCAGTGCTGCTGTCAAAGGAAGTAACCAGGTGGATGCACGTGTACCAACCCAGAAGGAGAGTCACAATGTTAGTTTCATAAACAACATAATTCCATTAATGGTAGCTAACATTTGAGGTTTTAACACGTGCCATGTAGTATTATTAGCACCTTCTTGTAGATTGCATTTTAGCCTTACCACACCAATTAGGTGGGTACTATTCCTGGATGGAGGCATTTGAGGCAC